CTCGAGTACACGTTTACTAGTAATTATCGTACTAAACGTATATAATAATATTATTAAAAACCACTTAATTTAAAATTCACTAAATGTGTATCAAGTATCAATAAATAGTTGCAACATTGTTTAAAATGCCGTTTTTGAGGTTTTTGATAAAATATTTTTTTGAATTTATATAAGCAACATATTTGTAGGTTATATATTTGGCTTATAACCCAGTAGAACGCATGTCAAATACTATGTTCTCAAAGGTTATTCAATATTGAAATCTTGCATTGAATAACATAATAGTGAAATCAATCAAATCGAAGCCAATACTTTAAAACTGTTGTGTGAAAATTCCGAAATTGAAAATCACAAACCTTTACAAAACGGAAAACTGTAGATTAAAATAAGGTTTGAAATATTAGATAGCTCCATTTAGATTTAATTTGTTTTTAAAATAAAATAGAGTAGGGGCCATGTGTCCTAGGTAAATAAATTATTAATGAAAACTAATTAAAGTTTTATAAAATAATAGAATTTGAGATATGAGCTAACTGAAATGCAAAACATAGTTATAAATTATTACTATTGTCTATCATTTCAACATAATAAAATAAAATATTATTTTGTTAGTTAATAATTTAAACTAGTAAAAAATAGAATATAAATACAATTTACAGTTAGAATACGACTACCGGGTGTATTATTGTATTAATATAAATATAAATTCTATGTAGGTGAAAATGGGTCGACCGACTATGCGATAATAATATAGATATTTCGTAGCCAGAGGTTCTTAGAAAGGCAATGAATATAATGTAGTTTTCAACTATAAACTTTAAACTTTAGCACGTATTAGTAAATACAGCTATGTTAATTTAAAAAGGTAAAAAACCAACTCTCTGCATACTTTATTCAAATCTATAATTGAATACAATCTCAGAACTAAAAATAAAGACGTGATGAAGTTCTCGTTTTACTTATTCTGAGCTCAGTCCATTCAGATCACCTCAGTTTTTTGTCATTAATCATAATAAATCTAACACATTTAATATTATACACACTATGCATTATAAAATATTATGTGTACAGTGTACGTGCATTGTATAAAATAGATATACTGGTACATTCATGAGTAAAATTATAAGTGGGCATTATCATAACAATTTAATTAAAAACATCTTACGCTAAACTAATACATGATTTAAATAAACCTATTATATTTGATTTCAATATTAGTACCTATATTTAATTTAAATAAAATTATATATTTTTTTAAATAATTTACAGTCAATTTTACTTTAATGCATTTGATTTGGAGGTTTTGATTTTTGACATATTGTTCTTAAACCTTTAGTTCTACTTTCATAATATTTCGTTCGTCGTAAAATTGAATATTTCTGGTTTTTAAAAACCAGAAATACAATAATCATTCGGGTTTGAACGAAATAATTTGTACCTGTATCTTAAAATGTACAAAGGTCAACCAGTAAAAGTCTGAAATTCTGAAATATAATGATGATAGTCAGTAACTTCTATGTTTTGTAGGTTAAACCTAGGTTTTCCCGGTATTCGTACTTTTACCGTAACATATTATACAAATATATCTTATTGGTACAATTGTATTACACTGATATATTGTGGATAATGAATTATATCATTGGATAATTTTTAATAGCTTAATATCAGGACTTATGTATGTCCTATAACCCAATAATTTTAAACTAAGGATACCATTATTTTTAATTAAACTCTAACAGTTGCAGACATCAAGTTTATATTAAGTTAGTTGGAAGGAAATATATCAACAAAAAATTATATTTTTGTTTTCCCCATGTATCTTTTTGTTTTTAAACATGTTCATTTATAACTTAATAAATTATAGTCATCTATGAAAATATTGCATCAACACGAATTAATTTAAAATACAATTCAACTCAAAATAACTGCCTGAAAAAATAATTTAAAAAATATGAAGATCCTTCAATATAGTTATCTTTCGGCATCTCTCATTAAAAAAAAACTTAATTAATTAGCTAATAAAAGAAAAAATTTTTAAGAAAATATTAATTCATAATATTCCTAAAAATATTCTATTTTACAAATAAATTATTCACTGACAACAAATAGTATTATTTCTTCTCATTATCTTAAAAAATGTATTTATTTTTTACTTGGATACCTTTGGAACGTAGGTAATTATGAATAAAATTGACATCAGCTCAAGTATGAAATTAGATTAATAATAATGTTATTTGTCATATAATTATTTCTTTAAGATCACATGCTAGAAAATTATAGGGTTTTAAATGTTTAATATCCTTCTGTAAAATACATGTACTTTGTTATTTTTAAGAGTCCTTTTATGAAATATTATGAAAAGGAATTTAAGAACTTAATTGACTGTAAAGTAGGTATGTTAAAAAATATATTATGATATAAAAAACATATTGTTTCCATGATATTATCGTCAACCTGGCAAACATTTATTAATACTTAGCCAACTTATCCTTACATTTATGTAAACAGCCAGTCTACTTACAAATACTTTCTTTGAAATTATTGTTGTATGACTTGCAAATAAAATATACGAAATTAATACCAGTAATACAAACATTTAAGAATTATTATCATTTGTTAATCAGAATAAAATTAAAGAAAATAAATAAATATGGCAATTTGTTACTAAGTATCATATATTTCGTGATTCGCCTATTATTATGTAGCTATGTGCTATACTATCATTTATCACCAACTTTGGTAACTGTCCATTGAATACGTATTGACATTTGATACGACATTGAAATAACAAAAGTACACAATACCTGTTTATGCTCTAAAAGTCCAAACTCATCGCACGAAAAACAAGGCAAACAAGCGTTTGTATGCTTTGTCAAAAGTATGTCACGTATATGATTATTTGAAATTTGATTTTGTAGTAAGTACACTTCTTACGATTTGTATTGTTTTGATCGTGTAAGTACAAAAGTTCAATATTGTATTCTGATTATAAACATTAACCAAAATTAAACAAGGAAACAAGTTTGAAAAAATAGGCAGTCCTATTTATATGGGGATATTCATATTTTTATATTTAATAATTTATTTCTCACTTCATTAATTTCTTTTTCTCTGTTATACCATGCCAAAAAAAAATGTTTTCTCTCTACCTTTTCAGCACATGGTATGCCAAAATTTGTTGTCAACAACAATTGGTACGTCGTTTGGGCGTAATGACAAATTAGGCAATACGATATTAAGTGATTGCAAAAAAATTTCTTTGACTTGAATCCAATTTTAGAGGTTACCTAATGTCCTTTTACTCAGCAACCTGTTAATTTAATCGACAATATGCCCACAACTAGTATTGATACATTTATTAAAACATATAATAATCATAAAAAATAAAACTAATTTTATAACTTATATTTCCTTGATAATCACCTTAACGTTATAACTATTAAGATACGACCGATAACTAATCTTTGTAAATATATACATTGCTATTTTTCTAAGTACTACACTTCTACTTACTAGGTATTATCTTGTAGCAATAATTATTGATGAAAGTTTAAAATCAATGATCTTCTTCATGGACGTTGAAACAAATTTAAAAAAAAAATCATCCCGGTAAAATTATACATGAAATAACCACATATAACATTACAGTCAATGCACCTATATACTAGATACGTATATTTACCTATATATTTTTTCTTAATTCATTCCGAGTATTTTCGTGTATTTGTGAATTTATAAAATATGATTTATAATACAGGATATGAGAACATACAAATGTTGCTATATTTAAATATATTTTCCATTGAAAGTGTTCAAGTATTATTTACAATCCAAGCTATAAGATAAAACGTCCATAAATGATTACATTCTAGCACCATTATTTTTTTTTAAGATTCCGTGAAATAAAGATTCTGCTGAGTATGTAGAAATAACCGTTGCCCTGTAATAAATTCCATCCATTCATTTGATTACTTTTATTTATTTATTGTCGTAGCTGTTTGTGACTTATTGAAATAAAAAAGTACAACGTTTTATAAAACACATTTTTCTATGCAAGCGTGTTTCCATTTTAGTGTTTTTAAATAAAAGTATAGGACTCATTTAAAACCTCTAGGAGAGATAAATTTTCGGTATTTGGTACTTTAAGTGTTTCAATATTCTACATTTTCTAAAGTTTCTTCTGGAAACAAAAATACAGACGTATGTGAATAAAACTCACATAAACGACTAAAACTCGGACAAACTGTACTAAAACTTAGCGGGTAACATTTGTGTTTTATTTAGACGTGGTTTCACCCTGCGTATTGTTGAAGGCAAACTTTGAACAAACTGCGACGTTGATAAAAGGAATTTGTACAAATATGCAAGGAATAAAATGCTTCTCCCTTCCTCCTGAAATACCTATTACAATATTATCGATCGTAACCATGCTTGTCACTTTTATACCGCATAATATATAATGATACATATTATATATCTAATAATTTAAGCCTTAAGTCCTGAAGTCTCAAGAGCCAACAGATTTATTAGAGGAATAAACGACACTCTCTGAAACAAAATGAATGGTTACGAACATCATTTTAATATAACATTTGTCATAGAGGTCTGATAGCTGATCAGACGGAAATCTTAGCAGATCTTGGTGGTGCAATCATATTTTGAAATTAGGCGTGTTAGTATAACTTTATTTATTTCATTTTTTTTACGTTTAATTTATTTTATTCTATACTTATGAAAAATTGAAATCTAAAATGCCTATAAAAAATGAACATTTAAAAATTACTATGTTCAGAAATTAGTAACGGTTGTTTGGTTGGGGTTGATAATTAGAAAAAGCGAACATAAAATTCCCGGTTTTTTTTTCAAAACATGGATCATCCAAATCCGACCTACAACAACAACAGCGATAAAAAATACTTGGGCGATACTACCGCATGACATTTTTTTATGACAGGATTAATTATTGATTGGATGCGTTTTATGTTTGACTGCGAATGCAGTGTAGTGGAACGATAGGGAGCGGTGCACGCGGCGGCGACGGATGCCGATGCTGTTCGATGGTACGCCGGTCGGTGGGCGAATACCAGTGCCCGGTGTTGATGGTAGTACCCAGCAATGGCCACAACTCAGGACGTCCGGCGGCCGCGGCCACCAAGAAGCCCGAGTCCAAGAAGCTCAGGTTCCAGCTGGCCAAGGAGCGGAAGGCGTCCACCACGCTGGGTATCATTATGAGCGCGTTCACTGTGTGCTGGTTACCGTTCTTCGTGCTGGCGCTGGTCAGGCCGTTCCTCAGCGACCCGTCCAGCATACCCAGCTCGCTGAGCAGCCTGTTCCTATGGTTGGGCTACGCCAACTCGCTACTGAACCCTGTGAGTATTATGAGTATTATTATTTCAGTATTGAGACCATTTCCACCACCGTTGTTGTGATCGGTTTCTTTTTTTTCGTTAACTTTCTAATTTCTAAGTTAACCTTGCGTGATACCTCAACTATAACTTGTAAACATTTAAAGAGACAAGAAAAATCGGGTTATTGATGGTTTAAGTTATCGAAAATTAATTTATGTAAAAAATGACCCAACAGTAACTTAGCTGTATAATATCTCTCAATAATTCGTTTAACATTAATGTTATTGTGTTATATATTTATTAATTTATCGATAAATACTAAATATGATAAAGGCATTGAGATTGTTAGAATTGGGGACTTGGGGTGTTCTCATATTGGTGTCTATCACTTGACCAAAGAGTTATACAACGAGTAAAATAATACCAAAACAGTGTATGAGTTGATTCTTCGTGGAGCACCTAACCTTAGCAAAAAGAAATACAAGTTCAGGAATAAACGTAAACAAAATGTAATAATTTAAGAAAATATAACGATCCTAGAGTTGTTACATGAAATTGCATTTAATATGAATTTATGATTAATATGTATGTATTACTGGGTTGTTAAAACTAAGTAAATTCGTATATTATGTTTTGTTAGTTCAATTTTTATTTTCAAATAAAATTATAATAACAGTATCCTATATTATATTTTATCAGATTTTATCAATCAAAGAACTTTATATATGTTGTATTAAGTAGGTTTTTTATTTGTCGTTGTTTTGATTTGTTGACATTTTAATCGATGTTTCGTACCTGTCGACATTTTGACCGTCAGTGTTATGACCTGTCGATATTTCAACTGTCAGCGTTTCAACCGTATCCCATATAATTACGGTAGAGCCTCGTTTCGAAGTTTTCTACGATACTATACAATTTACGTCTATAACATCTATCTATAGCTGTTTTTGTTTGACGTTCCGTAATACCAACGTCATCACCGCGGTTACGGCGTCTTAACGATTCCTGGTATTTACCTCATTTCTGACATGCGACCTAGAGTAATAATATCTGTTATCGGTGGGAAATATTACGGTACGAATAATATTTCAAATATAGCTTACGGTTTTTCCGAATCGGAGGTTTAAAACAAAGTACAGCGTAGGAACCGTTAACCCATTCTATTGCTATACATACTTCAAGTTTGCACATGGCAGTCGATATTGCTCATAAACCTGACTATTACTTTACAAGTCACTAGTAGAAAATCGAACAGAAACGCAAGTGAACAATCAAAATGGGAATCGCACATTCGCACTGTGCCAAATATTATAGCAACCTCGTTGATTTCTGCTACTATAAAGCACGATTTGGGGAAAGTTTATTAATATTCTCTACTAAAAGGTACATAGGTGAAATAATGTCATGAGTTTAGTTCTGGATTGATGTAGCTCACACATTGTTGCGAATTTCATTTACACATTTTCTTTTTTTGTATTGGGCGTATAATAATATTGCTAAGAAAAATCTTAAAATTAATTTCAAGATGTAGTCTATATAGTCTATGTATGCATATTTTTGAATATTTAGAAACTTTTTTGATTGTAGAGGCATATTTCCAGTTTTACTTTTTCAACTGTATATTTGGCGATAGTTACAATTTCCAACATTTCCAATTTACAATTTTCAATGTACAATGAACACCCAGTCAATTAATTTTTGTGAACTACTTCATTATACTTCATATTTCGTATTTGTCTTATAATACTATCGTCTTTGATTATAGACGCGAAGAGTGGAGAATTTAAATGAACCTACTTAAATATAAAATAGTTACGTGCTATAATGTAAAACCATTTAAGTCCGGGAAAAAATAACAAGTGCATATTTATTTGCTTTTAAGCGCTTCGACTTTGGCTTTGTTGAGTGCATATTTATTATGACTCGAATTCATACAAAAACTAATTTTATTTTACTGAACGCGTATTCACCGACAGCTATATAATTAAATATTATTCCGTCGTTTATACAGTACATCGCGCTTAAACATCACAACTCGCGCTACCACCCCTACCCCCCCCCCCCCCNCCCCCCCCCCCCCCCCGCGGGCGGGGGGGGGGGGGGGGGGGGGGTTAACCACTCTGAAAACCCGGTGTGGCTTTCATAAATGTCAAATCAACCATTATTGTTTACCTTATACCCGTTGATAATTGATTCAGGTAATCTACGCGACGCTGAATCGAGACTTCCGAAGGCCGTTCCAGCAAATACTGTACTTCAAGTGCGGCTCGCTGAACCACATGATGAGGGAGGAGTTTTACCATTCGCAGTACGGTGACCCAGAGCCACAGCACTCCACTCACTATTGCGTGATACCCGGAGAGCCCAACATAGTGCCGCACCATCCGTCCCCGACCAAGCCGGACGACACGCGGACCACCGATTCCAACCAACAAACCCTGGCGTCCGAGTCGTTCCTGTAGTCGTGACTCGACATTATTATCACGGGCGACCATAACGTTTACGATATTCGTTCGGCTCGGTCGTGGTACGCCCATAAAAAAGCGGTAGTCGCACCGTCGGGTAACGGCGATAGTCGATAATAATAATTTACTGTACGATAATAATAATTATATGCTACGAGATGAGATTATGTTTGCCGATTTTATTTCATTAGGTATGTCATTTTCCATTTTTGTTCACACCAAACGGGCTCCGAGTGAAAAATAACAATAACATTTCAAACGATTCCAAATGTCAAAAACTTCAAAAATGGTAGCACATATATGTGTATCGTTCATTTTAAAATAATCATTACACATAATTTATAAATATTATCTGATTTTGTTTTTACAACCGCGAGATACTCACTTAATTCAAATTCACGGTTTTATATCTGATTGCAAAATCGTCTCGGAGTTTGACATGTAAATTTTAACCGTAACTATCTTAAATTATATTATTATATCAGATACTTTTTTCGATGTTTCAATTATTTTGTTGATAACAGCGTGATCAAAGATGTTCAACAACGAGTAATTAATGTTAAAAATGTATGTAATATTATCTAATTGATTTTATGTAGTTTGTGTCTTCCGCTGTGATCACTTAAGTATATATTTATCCAGACGCGTTACGCTTATATACGTATGTGTACTCAGTACACAATGTCTAGGTACTAATTTATTTTCTCTGAACTACTGTCATAAAATTGAATACTTTCAATCAATTTTCATCATTTTTCTGTTCGTTATTATTTGTATCTTCCATTCATTGTTGAACAACGCATTCGGCACACAATTTTAAACAACTCGTACTTATTCGCATACAAAAAACAAAATTCAAATATTTTATAAAAATATGTTTCCAATAATTGTAAGTACTTAATATATTCAGTATAATATGCACTTCAATCATACAAATAAGAAATTAATTGCATCAAATTGCTCATGGTTACACATTTTTATAATAATAAAATATCTAAAGTCACGAATGCTATTTGCAATATTGAAATAAGTTAAGTTAACCATTGATCTTGAACTATGTCTTATTATTTTTACATAGTGAAAATATTTTGTTTAAATTGACTGTACATTTTTATATTCTTTGTTGAAAATTATATTCACAACTATCTATTTTAATGTACGATATAACTACGAAATAACAGTTCTTTGTTAACTATTGTCACCTACAATAAATATAAAATTATATTAATAAACAGTTAAATTAAAAATTATATTTTGATAACACAAAAACATCAAGATGATTTAGTTACATTGAATTTGAGTTGATTACAGAATGATATTAATACATACAATTAACAACATAATAACTATTATTGTCTGGCTATTAAAGTATTGAAACATTTTTAGATAGTATATATTTTAGTCAAAGAAAAATATAAGTTTTTCTTCTTTGAAGTACCTATAAAGTATAAACACATGAGTGGTTTCAAATACATAACTCTATAATGTATTGAATCGCATTGGTCGTTCTTTAAAAGACGTATTAAAGAAATGTGAATAAAATAAAGTGAATAGATATTTTAGTCATAAATATAATAAATACTGCAGATAAGAACTTCAATTATTGTACACCAAAACAGTAGTTCAGAAAAAAAATATTTACTCTTAGTAAATATGTTCTTAAAGTATTTACATTTTTATAATGAGCTTTAAGCTTGTATAACATTTAATTTAAGCCGTATACATTTTGTTAAATTTTGATTTTAATTAGTCAACGTTGAAAAATTGTGAGAGTTGAATTCTATGTAATTATTGTGATAGAAAGTGTATTATATTAATTTATTATTAAGTAAAAATCAATTGTAAAATCAAAAAAATAATAATAATATGCGAAAGTATTATAATATTTGAAATGTGAAAAAAGAATAATAATTAATAATAATAATACACGCGCAAACACACATAAACACACATTCAGATTGTATAATACCATATAATATAATACATAACACGCCGAATTTTTTGTTTGTTTAAAATGTATACATAGTAAGTTTATTTTGTTGTGTATAATACGCATACAACCTTAAAAATATATATCTATATCGATAATTTCACGTTACCATTTAAGTATGTGCTCGGATATAATATTATTATTGATGTTTGGTGAAATTATTATTCAAGTCTTGTGTTCGAACATTATACCTTTTGTTGTTTATGTAATAAAGAGCGAGTGCAATTGTGTTGAAAATTAACATACTATGCAAACCATCATGTACTCGCCACTTCCCAGGTGTCCTGTCCGCTGATCATCAACATCCATCTCATTTGCATTATGGGTACTTATACACTGGTCCAACTGAATTCGCCCGCGTGTATTGAACATAGTGTAGCTTAAATACGATTCACGTTTGTTATTGTTCGGCTACCTCACCGCTAACCTGCTGTGGCCTGTGAATGATAACAAATCCTCCTCCACGGTGTTTATGCGATCCGTCGTCATTGATTTCTAATACGCCTAACATGTTTTGAATTAAAATGCAACATTTATCCTGCAACACGTGAGGTCGCAAAAGTCGTGGAACAAAACTGCACTGACAACCATCGAGCAGTGGTCGTGGCCAAGTTTACACTATCTACATGACCGTTAGGTATGTGAAAAGTATTATCATCATTAAATCAAAGCAATATTATAAAAAATAATATTTTTCATTTATCGCAAGACATTGTTTTTTTTCAAACAATTAATATTAAATGGTGAGTATCGCTATAAATTCGTCAAGGGTAAATACATTGTGACATTAAATTAAAACCTAAAACAAAAAACTATAAATCCTCTTAAAAATTTCTAAAAATAACATTATATTTCTAAAATTTTAAATATAGGTTTTGGTTGAACTACAACTTTGCTGATAAGTACTTGTTTGTGCAACATTTTAATGTTTCGGACTGTTAAAAACCATTTATGGTGTTTATTTTTATTTTTAATTCTTACAACCCAAAATGAATTAACATGTTATACAATTTAAATGTAAGATTATTATCTAAGGTACCACAAAAGTCTTTATCGATATTTTTATGAAACAAGTTATGACCTTTTTGAAACTGTAATTTTTTTTAACATTTTAAAATTATCATAACTCAGGTACTTAAAAAAAATAACATCTATAAAATCCTCCAAGATGCCACGGATAAAAAATAATAATCTTACCTTTAAATTTTATTATGGAATAATTCAACTAATTTTAAAAATAACAAAGTAAAATTGATTATTTTTTACGTAAAATGTGCAATTTACAATGTACACATGTAAGTTAAATTTTTCCAACGAATCAGTACGACGTAAAAATCGAGATTACGAGTAGTAGAGGAAAATTAAATGAGAATAATTCTTTCTTCAGATTTCGAAAAAAAAAACGTAAAATTGTGGTGTACTGCAAAGCTTTTTATTACATTTAATAATAAAAAAAAAATTAAGTGCATTGTACAGGTACATTATTTTGAATTTTTAGGATGTATACGCATTTTTGGGTTTTTTAGGGCATCGCATTCCCAGCCCTCGTAATGAATAATATAATTTTAACAATGTTTATTAATAAAATACATTTGAACCCATATGTGCTATATTAACATTGAAGTATTCAATCACTGAAAACCATAATATGAAAACAGAATACAGTTACCAATGTGTAAACACGGAAAATTTAAAAAAAAAAATAACTCAGACCAGCTCTAACAATTTTTCAAGTCTCAAGCCATACTTGCTAATGCATTATTACTTTCAACATTCTACATTCATTTTTACCATATAGATACAATGATAACCATTATTTACTATTATAATAGGTACACCTACATCTTAATTCACAACAATAGATACACTTTAATATAGAATGCATTTTAGTATATTATACTTATCATAAATCACCCTCATGTTTTTTACGTTAATATTGTATTGATTGAATATGAATATTCTAAAAATAGAGTTTTTATAATTCATGGTTTCTATAATTTTAATGGATATTTAATTCCAACGGTATACAATATACCTTAGGTACAATGATTTGTCGTTGAATTCAAAATTAACACATTCATTATCATGACCTACCCACTCAATTACGAGGTACACTAAAACATAATATAAAGCTGAACGACATATCACTGGTTATTTTTAATTGTTTGCGCGCAGTACAGTATAAAACATAAAATGTACAAAATGCCTCGTGGGAGCCACTCTGGTCTTGACAACTCATCTTCAAACCATTGTTCTAGATTTCCTTTTTATTACCATAATAGTATGGTTTAACTATTACTGTCATGGTATTATGTACAAATGAATCAACTCTTGGTAGTAAAAAAAAGTCATCACTTTCTTCTTGTAAATAAGTGATGTACCTATGTAAAATAACAAAATAGTATGAATTTTAAATGTTTTAAGCTTTCTAATTTACAAATAAATTTACAGCGTTCTTCCAATGTGATAATGTGTTATAAAATGTACATTTTACACATTCCGTTTTATTCGAAATTTGACTGTTTTAGTTTAGTTTATTGTAATAAAATACAAATATTTAACTTCTAAATAAATGATTTTGAAACTTAAATATATTTAAATAAGTCATTGATGATAGAATATAATATCTTGAATTCTTTACTAATTTTGTTCGATCTATTCCACTGAAAATAACACATTATCATTCTGAATATACCATAAAACTACCTAATAGGTATTCATAAAGTTCAAGCTCCTGAGATCAACCAACGTTGTTGAAAACTATTTTCTGTTTAAACCCCTTTTTTTGCTAATTAAAAAAGTTGTATTTTCATAATAATAACAAAACATTTATTGAACTTAGTTATGAATTGTGTTCGAATATTTATATTTAAAAAGCATCTAAATACATTTTCATTCATTCGCAAACTTTCAAAGTTTTTCCAGTAAACGTTCTTTGTATTTTTAAACACTATTATTATATAAACTTATCTTGATGTTTATAAAAAAAAGTTTATACTTACCGATTTTTAATTATCTACCAAGTACCATATTTTCATCTCATCTCTCAGATAATATGATTTATGTCATTATTATATCACAAACATTTTATATTATACATAAATATATTATATTATTTTCAGATGTAAATTGTTTTTATTATTAGTCAAATAAATACCAATTACAGATTTAATTTATACATGTTAAATATACTTTTGGGATAATATCGTATTTTACAAACACTTCAAACATTTTTGTATACACAAGATAATTTATTATTGATAAATGAATAATAACATAAGTAGCTGTATAACTCACAACAAATAACGAAGGTACTTCTAATCTTTTTCAAATTTAAAATGCCTATATTACTATAGAATGGATATTAATATATTAAACATAAAACAAATTTTAATAATTCTTTTTTAGTTATAAGCTGATATTGCTTAAACTTTAGTATCAACAAAAATATTTTATTTTAAATATGGATTTCCGTTCTTCCCCACAAAAATGTATCGTTTTCCCCCACCAACAATGTCTCTTTTATTATTGATGCTGAGGAAACCGTTGTTAAACTCCTCTTTAATAGCCTCCTCCCAACTGTAATAATCCTTATAAATATATATATACTATACCTACTGGTATACATAGGTGGTAAAAGGTGGCTAATAATATGGTACTCGTATAAGTAAGACAAGTATTAAATTCATTTTTTTATAAATAATATTTTAGACAAAATAATACATATATATTGTACATAGTAAAAATGAAAATCTGTTAGATGGTATGCGCATCAATCGAGAACGACTTGTTTCTCTTTTTTTATCTTTTTAATGTTTGTTTGTAAATTTTAATATTCCGAATGAGATTCTAAAAATTAGAAACATTGCTCTGAAAATTTAAAAATTCAGGAAAAACTGATAAACATTTTTTCAACTAAAATTTCCTGTATATTATTTTTTGTGGGTGAATGGTAAGCATTGATTACATATTATTATTATACATTTGTATTTTTTTTCTTTATAAAGGATTGTCACTGGTTACACACAATATAATTGTTATTATGATTGAATATTTGGTCTTTTTTTTTTACCCTCGTGGTATTCTAAATATAATATTAACTTATCATCAACGTGTTCTGACTGACTCACTGACTGATCAAAGTGAAACTAAACTATGATAGCAAAAACTTGACATTTTTACGATACTTTCGAACCACCGTGTAAGTGTGCACTAAGAAATAATTGTCTCATTATAAAGAGTTGTTCGCATAAGGATTTTAATATTCAAGGTGTTCGATTTAAATCGACAATTTTTATTTTGTTTATAATTTGTTTTCATTGGTCACAGATTATAATACTATAATAATAACAGATAAAAAACAGTAGAAGTTAGTATTTTTTCAATATATGGTTGCCACTGGTTACATAACTATACATTATTATTATGTTTATAATTAGATGTAATTTTAACCTGTATTTGATATCTTATCTCTTTTTTTCTGAAAAAAATATTTTATTGTAATTAGTTATTTTATGTTGAAACGTATTCAAATATGAAGTAAATTAAAAACAAATAAGTGTAATGAATATCCTAATAACCGATAAAAAAATTAATTTAATTAATTATTATTTAGAAAATATATAATGATTTGCGTTGGTTCGTGTTGGGAGCGATAGGTTCGTTGAATAATTCGAAAAGTTTAATTTGAAAGTCTATCGTGTCGTAACCAATTGCTAGCAAAAATAAACAAATATGTGGTTAATTTTTGCTCTTGTCTTAAAGATACCTATTGGTTAGCTACTAAAACGAAATTCAGGGGTGGTTTAGATCATAGGTTATTAACCGGGAGTCCATGGACCCTTGGGGGTCCGTTGATGGTTACTTGGGGGTCCACGGGTCGGCAGTGAGTTTTTTAAATAACCTAAAAATAAATTTGTTTTAAATTAATTCATAATATTATTTGATGAACCTTTACAATAGAAACTGTGCATTTATAATATACAATAGTAAAAGTAAGTAAATATATCAATTCAAGGACGAGCAGTGACATACGTCCATAGTGTCTGAAAACATTAAATTTATTGGTTATCTGTAAAAAAAAAGTTACTAGTCTTAATACCATTAACTGATTTAAAATTAAATCTTTTCTTTTGTCTATTTGTTTTCAAGTTTTGAAAACTATTAAGCACAGAACCTTATGAATTAAACAAAGTCCAAACCATTTGAGGGTTGCCATATTTTACAGGCAATGAAGTGCAC